TTTGAAACCTTTCATATTGAGGGTATTTTTCGAACTTTAAATTTTTAAAATAGTAAAAAGGTATTTTGGAAAGGGTATGGTTGAATTTTGGGTATTTTCAATAATTTCTCTTGGATAAGAGAGGGAACGGCCATCTTGCATTATAGTCTTCAAGACAGAGTGGAGAATCATGACTGTACGAGTTTGAGACATAGGGAGTTCTCGAAAGAAATTTTCCAATGCGTCAAGTCTAACTCTGCCCTTGATCTCGAGAAAGCTGGGCCACTCTTTTTTCAATGTCTTCTAAAGTCGCCCTATTACTAATAGCAGGGATATCCAAGAGGTTAAATTGGAGCGGGGCTTCAAATGCTCAAAATATTCAAGGATCATTCAAGCAAACAGTGTGTCTTGGATGATTTTGAGTTCTATGGGGATCGCTACAAGAGAATTCAGGAGAAGAAAGCTAAGCAACAGCAGTTTCAGAAGCAGACGCAGGTGTTGGAAGGTAAGCCTGCCGAAGAGAAGATAAAGGAAGACACAAATGGAGATATCAAATCCAAGCCTTCAGAAGTTATTTCTGATGTGGTCGAGGGACTACAACTCCTTGGCCACGTGAAATTCATCTATGGCAGACTTGCTCACAGATGACCAACTGATGGGATGGTAACATCAATTCCATGATTATTCATGAAGATTGAATAAAGAATTGTAGCAGAAATTGATCAGAAGAGCAGCAGAAACTAACAAATCTGCTCTGATAACACGTTAAATTCTAGAAGAATTGAAAACCATGGCTTCATCAAGAAGCTTGAATTAAGCTCCATAGTAGAAAAGAAAACAGAGAAGAAAATAATAGAACAAATAGGCTGAGAAATTATATTGATCTCATCCAATTCAACTTTCAATACAAGGAGTGCATTTATAGAAAATGGCAAACTAACCATTTAATCTAACTAATCAAACTGAATTAACTAGAACACTATGTATCAAAAGCCAAGTAACAGTTCTGTAATGCCATTGTTAGATATGATGGATTTAGTTGATGTGGTAATTTTAATCTTCCAACTACTGAATTCTTCGTGTACAGTTTATCCACCACGGTCAAGTAAAGGTACCGATGGATCCATAGTCTTGTCCATGCCTCGGTGAAACTCTAAAGAGGTAGTTTTGCCATGGCGCGATGACATACTGGATTTCGTTGGTCGTCTCGTCTGAAAATGCAAAATCGTATTCACCAGCATTTGGTCGAAGTTTGGCAGTGGAGCGAAGATATATTGAGAGTAAGGTACAAGATTGCGCACTTGCTGGGGAATGCAAAGCCTATTTTAGCCCTCTTTCTTAGAATCTTAGACAACACACCACGGTTCACCGCGTTAGTCGAAGAGTTATCATCAAATTTGAAACTCCCGAATGTCAAAAAGAAATAATAACTAAAGTAACCATTTACTCACAACATCAACCNNTAACCATTTACTCACAACATCAACCAGTAAATGGGTCGATTTTACCGTAGTTTTGAACCAAAAACTTGTAGAAATCTGCTCATCTTAGATCCATTTGGTCCTTGGGTACCAAAATGAAACATGGTCATTAGTCAATAACTTTTATATTACGAAACTAGAAATGAAAAATTAAAATTTCATATTAAAAAGTGGTTGAGTTAAGTGAATATTAGCTGAACAAACTCCACCAATCATACCATTGTCCCTGTGAACTAAACAATTCCAGCTCACATAAACTTCCTTCTATTCGAATCACATCACTCTTCTTTATTGTACTTTCTTTGTCAAAACTCATACATAATCTAAATTCATGCATCTCTCAGCTACATTTGCTACATGAATCGCATTGATCCCAGTGGTGTTTTTCTAATCGCTGGCTTCCAAAGTTATTATTTTGATTCTCATTTCAAATCACACCAATAGGGAGCCGCCGGGGGGTGGGCGGGGGGGATTGATAATTTGATAGGAACCATTATCTAGATTAAATATGCTAATCAATAGAAAATTGAAGATAATAATTCGACAAAAATAAAAATGAAAA